TATATATTAATTATAAGTATTCATTTTGGTTAAGTGGTTAACTTTTGAATACACATTTGATTATGCCATATTATTTAAAAATTTTATATGTAAATTAAATATACAAAATATAAATTAAGTTTAAAATGTCATTAGTGATAAATGAAATCATAATAAAATAAATCATAACTATAGATTAAACATGTGTTTAAAAATTAACCGCATTATCTATGAAAATAAACCAGTAATAAGGTTATACTATACTTACACAGGTCGGAGATGCGGGTGAACCTGCGCGCCATACGCAGCTCGGTCGCGCCCCTGCATCCATTAGTCACCATTAGCCACCATTAGGCAAAGAGAATTAAGGACGAGAAACAACAATAAGTAGTATTAATTAATAATTCGATTAATCGAGTCAGGGCGAGACGGACACGAAGTAGAAGGCCGCGGCGGCGCAGCAGCACGCGATGCCGCTCAGCAGGCAGCCAACCCCGCCGCCGCCGCCGCAGTCGCACTCGCCGCCGGCGGTGGCGGTGGCGGTGGCGGCGGCGGCGGCGGCTGCGGCGGCCGTCGTCACTTGTTGCATGCTGTCCTCCATATCGATCTCGATCGCTTTGCTAGCGTAGCTGCAGGTACGTTGCGCGCTTAATCCGGAGGAACAAGACGATATTAATTACCTCTGTCTTCGATGGCGGAGGTTATAATTACTGATCAACCAAATGCTTCTCCTACAAGAAATTATAAGTATATATATGTGACCTGATATGATACGTATGGGAAATACGCAAGGTAATCTGTTATCTTAATTAGCTCTATATATCTACCTATGGCCGGTTTGTGCGGCGTGCTTAATTAGAGGCATCACCAAGGGATGTACGCCAGTTTATAGTTTGTTAGCGTGCGACTGCAGGACTGTCTCAAGACTAACTAAAGCCGATATCTTCATGTGTTTCACGTTATAAGAGCTAAGTCTACTACTAGCTCCAATTTATCTATAGCCAATCTAATAGCCAATTTAATATATGGTCCCACGTGTCATACACACAGTGTATCTTGGAGTCCGTGCTGCAGCTGCTACATATCTGTAGCCTGATGTTCTTCTCTCTCATCGTTTATCTTATTAAAATATATTTATAGCTGGCTAATAGTCTGCTATTATACCTGCTCTAAGATATTTTCCGTTTCAGTAAAGTACACGTCCCTTGTCTAAATTTACTCGTTTGTGTCAATTAGGTCCCTGAACTCTTAAAAATTTTATTTTCGAATAATTGAACTGGTTAAAGTATGTTATTCGATCTCAAATTGTCACGACACCTCTGGAATCCCATGTAGGAGTAACATGACATGCCATATATAAATATTCCGATCGCAGATTTTATTCTTTCTTTTCTTTTCCTTTTTTTTTTGCCATATGAATAAGAAAGGAAGAAAAGAAGAAAAATGGAGAAAAGAAAGAGTTAACACCCGTGGGACATGCCACGTCAACATCACGTAGGATCCAAAAATGTTATAATAATTTAGGACAAGAATATCATACTTTAATAAATTCGGAGACCCGAAAATACAACTTGAGAGTTTAGAGACCAAATAAGAACATATTTAGAGACTGACGCCGCACTTTACTCTTTTGGGTTTTGATTAGATCCATACATAAACCCATTACCCATGCATATGTTTAATAAATGTGTCCAAATTCACAAATATATGCTAACCTTTCAGCACTTGATCTGATGATATAAGTTGCTTCAAAACCATTTTTACTTTTTTTTTTCACTGCTCGTTCGCTGGATTAAGTGTTAGCATTTTTTTCAAAAAAAAAACTCATGCATTTATTCAATATAAGAGGTTTACATACAACATACATGAGTGGACACCACATCTTTCAAATAAAGAGAGATTAAGTTGCCTATGGTAGGACAGACATATACACATGCAGTATGATTTACATAAAGACCCCTCAAAGATAAACAAGTAACACACACTACTAAAAAACAATTTTCCTATACAAGAACCCACTTAGATTATAGGCAGACCATAATTGGTCACGTCTGGAAAAATAGTCCCATTTTCGTATGCGGTCCATTTAAGAGGACCGCACGGAAAATAAATGGACCGCAACGAAAATGAGCCTATTTTCACGTGTGGATCTATTAAAAGGGCCGCACGCAAAAATACCCACTCCCTCTTTTCATCTTACCCACTTTAAATTTTCCCTTATTTCTCTCCTCTCCTCTCCTCTCTCTCTCTCTTTCTCCTCACTCCTCTCTCTCCGCGCAGCTACTCCTCTCCTCCCGACGGTGGCACGCAGCGACAGCGGCAGCGATGGGCGTAGGCAACGGCGTGCGGCGGCCTCCTCCACGCAGCGACGGGGGAGGTGCGGGATCCGGCGGGCATTGGCCAACCCCCGCACGGATCTAGCGGCGGCGGCCGTCCCCGCATGGATCCGGCGGCTAGCCGCCTTCCCCCCGCGCGGGATCCAGCTCTCCTCTCCTCCCCTTCCTTCCCTCCCCAGATCCGACGGAGGGGAGGGACGTCGGCGCCGGTGCGATCGGAGGGGAGCGCGGATCCGGTGGCGCGGGCGTCACGGAGGTCGCTACCGACGATAACGAGGGAGGGAGCAGCATCCTCGGCCGACAACGACGAGGAGTACGGGAGCGACGTCCTTGGCCAACGACGAGGAGGAGGAGGAGGAGGAGGAGGCGGCGGCCGGGAGCGGTGGCAGCTGCCACCGATTCTAGGGTTTTTATTTTTTTTTGAATTTTTTTCGGATTTTTGTTTTTCCATGCGGATGTCATAAACACCCGCACACGAAGCAAAAAATCACGATTTTTGCAGACACCTGGGTGCGTGCGGGCCACCTACCCGCACATAAAACCGGTTTTGACCGCACACGAAAATCTTTCTCGTAGTAGTGACAGGGTTATGAAAATAAGCAAATAATTAAGGACTCAAAGAAAAAAGCAGTCGAGTCCCTCCTTCACTTCTTCTTCTAATCCGATGACCAAGATGACAAAGCTGATGGTGACGACTGTGAGGACGAGGTTGACTGCTGAAGATACTTCCCATCAAGCCACAAACCCAACATGGGCCTCTCACAAGTGAAGGTTGAAGCGAACCCGATGAATAACAGAAGATTCAGTCTAACCTTAAAAAAGGTATATCGGAGACAAGAAAGGGCATCAAATTGGTAGCAGCAAACTGGAGGGAGATGATTTAAACGGCCAACAACACCTTGTCATTGTGGAGGAAGAAGACCTCTCACCGTTGGGCAAATATGCTACACTTGTTGACTCAAACACCAATGAAGAACCCCGTACCAGCCTTCTAGATGGCACAAGGCAAAGCAATCTATGAATTTAGAGCTCAAGTCGGTCATGGAAGGAGGTAGCCAGGATGAAAAAGACGGGTGTTGGCATTTCCATCGAGCTATATAGGAAAGGGGAAGAAGTGGACCTGGTACTAAGATAAACTCGATATACAATAGGATGAACCTGACTACGGGATAAACCTGACGGCTCCCCTAACTCTCCATCCTCCCTCGTCGGTGACTAGCGGCCACCGAAGACGGAGAGGAAAGGGGATCCAGTGGAGGAAAAGAGGAGTCGCTCTTTTCTTCGCTCACTAACAGAGAGAGGATAAGGTCAAGTTGACCCCTGGATGATGTATCTTATTGTTACTTACCCCTCTAAATTGTTAGCTAGAATTCAAATTGTCAAGGCCTGATTGAGCACAAATTCTCCCACTTAATTGACATGTCTCACCGCTCGCTGCCTATGCTTTGTAGGTATAGACGCTTTGATGCGCACACAGTGACGATAATGATTGTAACATGATAATACCCACCGGTTAGCAGGTAAACTAGACAATACAAGAGAGAACATTGCAATATAGGAGTCTACTACATTCATTCAAAAATAAATAAATCTAAGATATGATGAGATATTTTCTAGTACAATAAATTTGAAGAAAGCCTTGTCTAAATTTGTTGAACTAAAATTATCACATTTTACTCTAGGATGTTTATTTTGAGACATATAAAGCCTGTTCACTTTGATGCTATTTTCAACCTTACTAAATTTTAGTAAAGTTACCAAAAAAGTGGCTACATTTAGTTTGTTGCCAAATTTTGGTAACTATATAAGAAATCCTGCCAAAATTTTGATAAGTTGCCAAATTTTTGGCAATACCAAATTTTGATAAGGTTTTTTTTGGCATCAACGTAAACAGGCCCATAGTGTAGTTGATATGAGTCGTGACAAGACATGCACTAGCCAGGAAGGTCGCAGTGGCAGATGAGATGGCTTCCATTCCCGTTAAAAAAAAAAACCATGCAGAACTATTTTCTGTTGTGGCACATTGGCAGCGCCCGAATGAAGGGCCACGTCAGCTCCTTTGTCCGGTGCGTAACGGTTAAAAGCGGTGGACCCATCCAACATGGCCGGACCGGACCGGACCACCCGCTGCCACTATCAACCACCACAGTATGCCACTTCCACTGTCCAACCTTGTCTTGTTAAGAGCAAGTTTAGCGCCCCTTTGAATTATAGGAATGAAAAAACGGAGAAATAAGAAAAATATAGTATTTTAATATGAATGTAAGTGTAAAACAGAGGATTGTAGAACACAGAGAAAACGTAGAAATGACCGTTTGATTAGACCACAGGAAAAACACAGGAATTTGAGGAGAGATAAAGACTCAAAGATTCTATGAATTTCCTTTGAATCAAAGGGGACCTTAATAGTATAACGCAACTAACAACTCTAATTTATCTATAATCAATGTAATAGCTAATTCATACAATAGTTATTTACTATACTATTAATATATAGTTTCACCTGTCATATACATATTACGTCTTAGAGTCCGTGCTGTAGTTGTCTATATATCGGTAGACCGCTGCTCTTTTATCTTATTTTTTATCTTATTAAAATATATTTATAGCTGGCTAATAGTCTATTATTGTTGTACCTGCTCTAATGCTAATGCTAATCTAAGAGGAATCCCATCAAATCAGCGAGTAAGGGTTCACCAATCACCATTGACGCCACTCTTTCCCCCCTCCCGAGCACAGAGCAGAGAGAGAGAGAGAGAGAGAGAGCGCTGCGGAGGAGACCGATGCCGCCGCCGCCGCCGGAGCCGGAGCCGGAGCCGGTGGTGATCCACGCGTGGTCGGCGCCGCGCTCCCTCAGCACCAGCCTCATGTACTCCTTCGCCCAGGTCCGCGCCTCCTCCTTCGCCTCGCCTCGGCCTCGCCCACCCCGCTGCGCACGGGGGATCCCCCTGGGCCGGCGGCGAGTCGGCGAACCGGGGGCCACCGCCGCAACCAGCTGCATTACCTGCACGGCCGGCTCGCTTCCCCCGTTTCGCTTTCTGATGATTTTTTTTTTAATTCTTGTGTTTGGGATAGAGGGATGACATGGAGGTGCTCGACGAGCCGCTCTACGCTAATTTCCTGCGCGTCACCGGCGTCGACAGGCCGTATCGCGAGGAGCTTCTGTCTAACATGGTAAACCTTGACAAATGGTTTGATTATTTAATCACACTACTACCGTTGCTACTGGAGAAGGAAATTTTTGTTGCGTGATCTTTGCGGCATTTAGTAATGGATGTTTATTTGAAGTAGCGGTCGTTTGGAACTGAACCAAATCAGCTGTAATCATGCTCTTCTGACATGATTGAAACTTGAAAGGATGGGGAGATGGTTTTGACATCCTGCTTCGTGAATTACCTTTTTTTTTTGGTTGCTTCTAGCACTTCCCTGACTACTGGACCTTTCTGTCCAAATGTTCTCAATGTCTTAATTAGATCATTTCCATTTCAATATCGAAAATAATACTGTGCACCATCCTTGTGTGTGCTTTTTAAAACTAGCTCTGCTAAGTTACCATAAATTTCTATACTAGCAATATGCATGGAGCATGGAGCCTTCTATATAATAGAATCACTAGGAATACTTCCAGTGCAGGATCCTGATGGTAACAAAGTTATCAGTGAAGTCATTTTTGGGCCAGGGAAGAGAAAATATCGTTACTGCAAGGTAGATTTTTTATTTTCTAAGATGTTGCTCACAGATTTATAAATGATCCCTTAATCCCTCAATCTTTTGTTTGTAGCACATTGCAAAGCAGCGCCTCCCTAACCTGTCAAGTGACCTGATGAAAAAGGGAAAACATTTCATATTGATACGCAACCCTCTAAATATCCTGGTATTACTGCCTTTTGTTTTCAGTATCACATAGACACATACATTTTTACTCATTTTTGCTTTGCATACTGTATTGTGTATATATTTCCTCCTGCTAATAGCATTCAACATACCTCAGCCATCATTTGACAAAGTCGTCCCACCATCATTCTTTGAGCTCGGCATAGCGGAACTTGTCTCGATATACAGTGAATTGTGTGAGCTTGGGAGCCCTCCGCCTGTGATAGATGCAGACGATCTACAACGGGATCCTGAGGTATATCTATTCTTGGATATTCAATGATGTTATTACTGTGGACACTATCTACTTAATATAGTGTGTGGCATGCCATTATTTTGTAGTGGGCTGCTTTGAAGGGCATGGCATTGCAGTCCTCAAGCAATTAGTCTAGGTTATACTACACTAATAAAAAAATGAAGTTCATATTATCTTCATTTTTTTGAAATCATGGGGGCCTGAAATGATTTTTCATATTAGATTGAAAAATAATAATCCTTGAGATAATTTCTAATATTATGACATTATCTCAATTCCTGTATTGCATTCGCAAATTGCTTTGTTTTTACTTCACATGCAGGCTGTCTTGAGTGGACTATGTGAGGATCTAGGTATTCCTTATCAGCCACAAATGCTCCAGTAAGTATATTCTACATGGTAACCACGCTAAAATTTTCTATTGTTAAGTATGCACGTTAGAACAAGCATGGTTGGACATCAAGATTCAAAGGCCTGTTCTTCCTTTTTAGATGGGAAGCTGGCCCCAAGGACTTTGATGGTATTTGGGCTCCCTGGTGGTATAGGAGTGTACACAAGTCTACTGGTTTCTCTATGCCACGCCGTTATCCTTTGGTAAGCTTGCATCAAACATTTCTTTCAATTTTCAGCATCTATTCTTGTGGTTTTTGCAAAGTTAGTATCCATATCATCTATTTTTCAAGACAAGTATTGCATTGGTATAGATAGAGAACAGAGGACCTCTGAAGCAACATGACGATGTAACAGGGAGTTGAAGGGGTCGCTTGCAGAAAATGTGCTTAGATATTGTAAAACAAACGTGTTATAGCTAAAGCGAGAAAACCAGATGGTTGGGGATAATACCTTAGATGAAAGTTATTTGAAGTTATGTACGTATATCTTCATTTGGATAGCCTGATCATTCTGCTGAATTTCTAGATCATCCCATCTAATTTTTTGCAAGTAGTTTTTTTCACCATTGTATTGAATATGTTATGGTTCTTGCAGGTTAGCTTTTTGAGAACATACAAACAATAGGGATATTTGGTTTGAAGAAATAACTTTTGGAATAAATAATAGAGCAGTGTGATGATGCTGGAAAGGTCCAAGCTGAACTTACAAAAATGGTACAAACCACAAACATGAAAACAAACATACATATATGGCTAATCTGAAAGCAAGAAAAGAAAACACCAATGCTGTTCAAAAGTTCACCAGATAGATTCCTTGGTTTTGTCCTTAAATAGATTATGATACCTACACATGATCATGGACTTTTTGGCATTTGTACACTCCATTTATTCGAGAAGAACATTTTTGCGTACCATTGAACCCCATGCTGCTTCATATAGGAGTCAACCATCAAATATGAAACACCTTATTTGAAAAGAGCTGATCTGTTAAGTAAATATGCATTCTAACAAAATATCCATTGAGATGTAAAAGAGTTTAACCTTATTGAGTGGCAGCCCTGTCAAACAAGTTTCCGTTCCTAACAAGATGCAATTCATTTCATCGTGAGTTGGTGTAACATTTGGTACAGCTTTTAATTATCATTGACTTTCTCTATTCGATTTCAGACTTTTCCATTTGCTTTGTATGATCTACTTGAACAAAGCTTGCCATTTTACAACGTGCTGAAACGCCATGTAAGCAAAACCATAGGATCCCCGCAACCAACATTACCTGATCCTCCTCTTCCAGTACCTGAAAATAAAAAAATTCTTGTTTGGGTTGGAGATGAGCTTTTGCCCCGTGATAGTGCAAAGGTACATCACTTATAACTTTTGGTATGCTCTCAGTATTATAATGGTCACACTTGAGCAGTTGTTCCTTTTTTTTTTATTCTAATCATTTATCTTGTAAAGGTTTCAGTATTTGATTCAGTTGTACAAGGAGGGGATGCTGTGTGGGAAGGATTACGTATATACGATGGGAAAGTGTTCAAACTTGATGAACACTTGGATAGGTGCAATAACTATTTCTGTATTTCCATTCTTTTTTCTGCTTGTGATATATGAGAAGATTGTCCTTATGTTTTTATCTAGGTTGTTTGATTCTGCAAAAGCTATGGCCTTCAGCAATGTGCCTAGTCGTGATTGGGTAATTTGACTTGACTGCTCTCATCTATACTGTTCGTTACATTGCAAGAAATATCAAATTAATCTTTGTTAAGAATCTTTGATGTTCTGTTGTGCCTTTTTTGCATTGATGTTTCAGCTTGTGTAGTAATAGTCTCTGAAATTTTGGTTTCTAATATTAACAGTTGTATGTCCAATGAAAAGATTATTGCTGTGGGCCAATGTTGAAGTTTGAACTACTCCTGAATCAAGCTTCCATTATGTGCATGTTTCTATGCAGATTAAGGATGCCATCTTTAGGACTCTCAATGCAAATGGAATGTTCAATAATGCTCATATAAGGCTTACACTCACCCGTGGGAAGAAGGTAAAAAGATGAACCTAGATTCATCAGTAGTGTCACTTTTCAAGTATATATATTTGTCGACATCTTTGCATATCCTGCTTGATCACTTCATTCGCTACCTTCAATTTCAAAAAACTGCAGGTGACATCTGGAATGAGTCCAGCTTTCAACCTCTATGGATGCACCTTGATAGGTATTCATCCTCCTAGTCCTATCTTGCTTGCATGAGAATGCCAAGTATTTGTTTTCAGTTTTCCACCTTGTGGCATAAGGACATTATGTAGGACAATGTGAAGGTTTAGCTGCTTAATCACCTGTAGTGCTTGGTACCCATACTGAAAATCTGGCGTTGCTACTGTTGGCTGGCCAGTGCTGGTATAAAACCACATAACCAATGATATAGAGTAGCAACTTTTGAGTGCCTAGCGGTGGTATGCTATTAATAAATTGACCAATTGTATTGTGAAAAATATATGTATGCCACTATATATGATTTGCAATTCTGTGGAAAACTAAGTGGGTGCAATAATGCTAATTTCTAATAAGACCTGTTCTTTCAGTGCTTGCAGAGTGGAAACCACCAGTTTATGATAACTCGCATGGAATAAAGTTGGTAACTGCCACCACGCGGCGTAATTCTCCGAATGTAAGGTCCATTTGGAAACATATACATGATCCATGTTAATTTGAAAGTTCACAAAGCATCCTGTTTAGTTTCCTGTTTGGGAATAAACATTGACTTTGGCTGCTCTTACGACTTTTCAGAGCATAGATTCAAAGATACATCACAACAATCTTATCAACAATATTCTGGCGAAGGTACTTTATCCTTTAGATTTGTATAGCTGTCCTTACATACATTTTTTTAAATGGAGCCCTTTATTAATTGTAATAGCACTAAGTTGCTAATGCTTTTATGCAGATAGAGGGTAACCTTGCACAGGCTGAGGATGCCATCATGCTAGATAAAGATGGTTTTGTATCAGAAACAAATGCAACAAACATTGTAAGTGTACATGGCTGTTATCATTAACATATCTCGAATTTGCCTCAATATTTTTTATTGAAGGAGAGAGTTTACCTCAATTTTATTCATAACTTTTGTTTTCTAAAAATGCCACTGTGTTAATTGCAGTTTATGGTTAAGAAGGGCATTGTGTTGACACCTCATGCTGAGTACTGCCTTCCAGGCATTACGCGTGCAACTGTAAGTCTAATCAGGTTCCAGTTGGAAAACTATCAGCAGAGCCAATCTAAAAAATTGGATACCTCCATTGGAATGACATGGAAGAGAATTTATTAGAACTTTTCTGTCTAATTGCAGCCACTACTTTTTCAAGGAGCGTTATTGCAATACACATTTCATTTATACACTATTTTGACTTGTACAACTATATTTGTACTGGAAATTATTGTGAAAATCAGAGAAATTTTTGTTTTTACTGACAAAGAGGCCCGATAAATATTGAATATGAGGAACCACTTCTGTTACTCCCTCTTTTTATAATATATCTTGAGGTTCTTGAATCACGGGCATTTTATAAATTATCTTCAAGAGAAAATGTAAAATATCTGATAGTGGCTTTGTACCATGAGATCTACCGAGTTACTTTGTTTGGCACTGATAGTGCCTTTTTTTTTTCTTTTCGTTTCCTATGAATGCAAAATTGCAAATACCACAATATGTTTACCTAAGCCTATAGTTATATCATGTAGATATTTTTTACTGGCTTGCTGCATCATGACTTCAAGAAATATGTTGTATCTACTTACGTGCAAGGAAGACGAAATTTGTGGTTTCAGTTAGCATGAAGCACTATGTGATTATCAAGTTGAACAAACTTCTTTTCTGGAAAAATCAGAAGAGTCATATTTGCTGATGCTAATATTTTTCATGTTGGATGAAATTAACAGGTCATGGATCTTGTGGTAAAAGAGAGCCTGGTGTTACATGAACGTCGCATTAGTTTATCAGAATTTCATGCTGCAGACGAGGTTCCAGTCTTATTCATGGACATAAGTTCATATATGATTTTTCCCTCTATGCAATGGTGAATCTTTGTTAGGAACAATGAAACCTGCCTTTTCAAGAAAAAAAGGAAGTGTTTATGGTTTTAAGGAAACCTGCTTTTCTAGGGTAAAAAGGGTAGAGAAAATGCCATGTGCAGAGGTCTGAATTGGCTTGACCATAGAACCCCCGTTACAGCGTGTAGTACTGTAATCCTCTGAGTAAACGAAATGATCGACAATACTCCCTCCGTTTCATATTATAAGTCGTTTGACTTTTTTCCTAGTCAAACTTCTTTAAGTTGGACCAAATTTATAGAAAAAATATAGTAGTATTTTCAACACGAAACAAACATATTATCAAAATATATTCAATGTTAGATTTAATGAAACTAATTTAATATTTTAGATGTTGCTAATTTTTTCTATGAACTTGGTCAAACTTTATTTCTATAAACATATTATCAAAATATATTCAATGTTGCTAAATTTTTCTTTAAAAAATCAAACAACTTATAATATGAAACGGAAGGAGTATTATTTTGCTTACTTGAATGAAGCAATTGTGATTATCAAGTTGAGCCTACATTGTTTTCTGAAAAAAAAATCAAAATAATCATCTTTGCATATGCTAACATCTTTCATGTTTAACTAGATAGTTCTTATCTACCTTTTCATGAATTACTATAATAAGATGGACATGTTGAGATGTTCTATAACATTTACTTGAAATCTGAATTTTGATAATGGGGGTTTTCACCTGCAGGTATGGACTACTGGAACGATGGGTGAAATCACACCGGTGAGTTTACATTTTTGCACTATGCGCTCATGTTTTCCCTTAGCCATTTAACAGCACAGCTATCTGATGGTTTTGTTGAATTTAATAATAAATATCTAGTTTACTTGCATGTATTCTGTTTTCTAAACCAGAGTATTTAGTCACTCTAGTCAAGTGGCCATTTTACACCTAAGTTATTATCATAAAATTGTGTTCCCTATTAATCGGGGTTTTCCATTTTGCTAGTATTTTATTAGATACGTCAAGCATAAATAGACTGCGAACTTGTAACAGTGTTGGCACGTACTGCACATATGCTCGTTGCTGACATAATCTATTCTACAACAGGTCGTAATGATTGATGGTCGTGAAATTGGTGACGGGAAAATAGGTCCGGTCACAAGACAAATCCAGAATGCATACAAAGTCATAACTGCAGGTTCTGGAGTAACAATACCCAGAAATGCCGATGAATAACAGGTGTATATGCCTTCCTGGTCTACCTGCCGGAACCAGTATAAAGCAAACTTGATTGTTAGAGAAATAAATGTGAAAAGATGCATCACTAAATTGTCGTGCCAATTGGAAAATGTGTATGAAGCATGTACTCTGTTTTTCTTAGACTCAGTAGGGGTTTTCGCCAAAATTGCAGATTTCATTTGTGGACGATTATGAATTCAATAAACATGTCCAATGCTAGTAGCTCAGTTTGGCACTGTGGTGGCCTTTCTAAAAGGACCTGTGCATTATATTTTTTTTCTTGAAAAGTTAGTTCAAAGCATTTATCTTGAGGCCGATAGCCTCGTGAAAATGACTAAATATTCCTTTTCAGAGGATTTCACGGTGCGGTACCACCCCCTCATTCGGAACAAAGGAATATAGTAAAGTTGCATGTGTTCCAAACATGAACTGTCATTTAAAAAAGTCTTTATGCATTTTATTCGACCCCATTACTCAACCTGGTAATTTTTTTCGTGAAGAAAACGGAAACCTAGATGGTTGTTTTATTCAGAGTTTGATCTCCGTCGGTTCATCCCCTAAACTGAGATTTTAACATTAGCATAATAGTGCCCCCCAAATGGCATTCAAATTTCTGCTTTTGTTTTAGGATCAATACGCCAAACAAATACGTGCCACATGGTACATACATTGGTACTCAGCAAAGGAATGCTTCAACCAGGTAAACTGTAATCACTAATCAGAAATAGCTCTGTCCATGCATCCCATTTACTCCAACATGATAAAAACATTCAGATTTCCAAAGAGCCAAAGCAGGATGCACACAGAACATAACAGTAAAGGAGAGCAAAAGTAGCTGCATTATGCATAGATACTGCCAGTACAAGTTAAGCAGATGATCCATAGAACGAACTCCTGCAACAAAATACTACCTTGCATCAACTACCAATTCTTAACTTTTTCGACGAATTTGCTCCTGTACCTGGAGCGCGACATATTTGGCAAGATCACTAATGATGCTGTTATTGCATCTCTCTGAAGCTAAGTTTTATTTTGGTCGGTCAATCATGTTTGATGAACCACGCTAAAAAAATGTTTGACCGCGGCGCACGGTCCAGTCCAGGTGAAAATATGCTGTGTACAAACGGGCCTTTTTGTTAGCCCACATAAAAAACAGCCCAATTACGGCCTTTGCTGCATATTTAATTTGGCCCACTGAGCCTACAAACAAGCCCATGTAAGAACGGCCGAATAGAGAATAAGTTCACTTTTGATACCTCAACTTGTCTTCGAGCCTGAAATTACCCCAACTCACAATACCATGTCACTCAAGGTCATAGGTAATATTATACCCAATTTTAGCTGACATGGTGGGCTGAGTCAACGTGGAATCCACGTGGACTAATTTTTACTTCTTTCTCTTTCCACCTCTCTTCATATCTCATTTGGGGCAGCATGCAGTGGGCAGCGTGGAGAGCACAGTGGGAGATGCAGAGAGGACGGTGGGCACTGGTAGGACCGTAGGAGGCTGTCCCGTGGTGATGGAAGTCAGACAAGAGAGGAGACGGCGGCTACATGCTCCCCGTGCCAATCCGCGGTCCACATCTCTGACTCCGCTTCCGGCCAGTCCCCGCCTCCGCCTTCGACCGGCCCTCGCCTTCGGCTAGTCTCGCCTCTACTTCGGCTCTGGCTAGTAAGCGACGGGGCATTGAACGAGAAAAAAAATCGTCCACAAATAATCAAAGTATCATATGCCTTGAAAATGATATAAGGTGCTCGGAAATGGTTGAAGAAAATGAATAGGAGAATCACTATGACTATAGTCTATAGCCCTTGGTAGAGTTACTAAAGAAGTAAATGATTTATTTGATATTATGGTTGACTAGTTACGAAGGGTTTTAGACAGCTAGCCTAATTTCCTTGTGGAGGATGTAAGAGAAGAGGAAGAAGGAGAAGGGATGGCTGTTGACATGTGGAGCCTACATGGATCCCACTCATTATGTCAACAAAAACCAAACACTATCCTACTAAGCGCAAGTACTACAATGCTCCATATGCTACCCCTAAGAGTGTCACATTGGATTGAGTGATGAGGTGGAGGAGAGAAGTGAGGAGAGAGATGATGAACCACCCCTAAATTAATAGGCAACATCCACATAAATTTTAAAAAAGGTGTGAGAGTATTAGAGACATTGGTATTTGTATACTAGAGGTGACATATTGTATGGGTGAATGATATGGATAAATTTGGATGTGGTAGTCCACAACACTTGCCATGTAGACTCATATGATTATGTGGAGGACAGAAGAGAATAGAGAGAGAGAAGAGGAGCCACCCCTCGTACAAGGAGCAACCTCCACACAAATTTCAAGAAAATGGGAGAGAGAGAAACGGATTGGTAGCAAGTGTATTGGGTGTAGTGTAAGTAAATGCAATCTATTATATGTATTACCTCTAAGGGCAAGTACAATAGCAGGCTATAAGTCCGCTGTAAGCACATGTGGAGAAGAGAAGAGTGAGAAGAAAGACATGATACAGATTTGTAACCAGCTGCAGCGCGGATTCCAATACATTGTGTGTGAATGAGATGTGTGACCATATATTAATGATGCAGTATATGTTAATAGATAACTATTGTATAAATAAACTATTATATTGGTTTATAGATAAATTAGAGCTAATAGTTGGCTATAGTATTAAACTTGCTCTAAATTAATGTATAGATGGTTTAGGCAAAATTAAATGTGACCACTACCTCTGCTATAACACATGCTCTAAGGGCAGTCCCAATCCATAGTGTCCATAAGTAGTGTCTATGGTGCCATGTCAATAAGACATCACAATAGAAACTACACTATACAACCCATGGTTTCTTAAAGTGGGCCATTAATAAATACATCATCTCTCTTCTCTACCAATCATATTTATTCTTCATCTATTATGAAGACACTATTATCTCCCAATACAAAACTTGGTAGTGTCTAGTACATAGGTTCTCGTGTTGAAGCTGTGTCTTGCATGAGACCCAGTTTCTTCCTCTCTTCACTCTCTTAATTAATATAGTACCACATAAGCTAAAAGTCCTACATGACAATGTAGTTAATACCATAGACACCATCCTAAGTGGAGGGTTGGGACTGCCCTAAGGAATCAAAGTGGAGATGGTACTGTGAGTTAGGGGATGAGTTATCCCTAATATATTTCGGTTCATGTACGAATTTTAGACTTGATGATGTGGAGGGATCTAAAAGTGGACTTATTCCCCGAATAAATACCGCCCGAAGGCCATATGGCCAACTCATCGGTGGCGGATAGAGAGCTGGAATTGAATCGCGTGAGTTGAGTTGAATCCAGGCCGTTGATCTCCCCCCTCCCGGACGGCGGCGCGAGCGACGGTACGGAGGCGCGGCCTCCGGTGGGCTTGCCGTCTTGGATAGAGGTGGGCATTCGGTCTAACCGAAAATTTCGGTCTCGGTCTTCGGTCTTTCGGTCTTTTCGGTATTTGAAAAGTGAAGACCGAATTTCAGTGCAAAAATGTCAGAACCGACAAATTCGGTCTCGGTCTTTTCGGTCTCAATCTCGGTCCTGACCGAAATTCAACAATATTTTCATATATGCAAAGAAATAATGGAAATTTTCAACACAAAAATCACAAAAAAATTCGTAAGCACTTATGAGTAAAGACTCTTATTAGGTTGCATGCCTAGAAGAAGTAGGGATGTGAAAATTAGAGTTTAATCCTATTAAACATAGTGGATTGTAGGTTGCATTTAGACATTTTTTTTAGTAATTCGGTCTTTTCGGTCTATTCGATTACCCGAAGAGACTAACCGAATTGACCGAACAAAATTTAGTCTTTCACTATCTAGGACCGAATTGATGACCGAATTTCTCGGTCTCGGTCTCGGTCTTTCGGTTCAATCTTTTTCTGCCCACCCCTAGCCTTAGAGACGGAGACCGAAGCAGTTATGCACCGAGGCCGAGAAAGAAGAGAGAGAGATATGGTCTCCACTCTCCAGACTCCGAGGAGTCAACCTTCCTCGGTCAAACCGAGGGAGCAGCAGCGCCAGCTGGCACAGAAAAAGCGCCCGAGCCAATCATGGGCCGCTGCCCGGTGGGCCCACCAGCCCAGCCGAAGCCTGGGAAGCCTCGGGCCATGCGACCGTGCAGGGCCCACCCGGCTCTCTCTCCCGGATGCAACGGGGAGATCTCCGGCCGCACGTACCGAGGAGGTGGCGTACCCACCCACCCCGCCAGGTGGGCCCCACCCGTCGGTCTCGGGGGGTCTCCACCTGCGCGGTATTACTCCAGCCTAGTTGCAGTTGCAGTTGCAGTTGCACTTGCGCCGTTGCGTTGCGCGCTGGGCTGGCTGGCTGGATGCCCCCAATAATGTCCTGCACGTGGCCCACCAGCACTGGCTGGGCCCACCTCCGAGGCTTTTCCAGTAGGGGCGGTTTATTTTTGCACATGAGACCTCTCTGTTTGTGATTTTTTTTTTTGTTTGTGATATTCAATTATTATGTTTGGGTTTTGTTGGCTGGCTGAAAGAATGAGAATGTCAAGGATGGACAACAGTGACCGAAATGGTCGTTTGTATGATGAAAAGAATGTCTGGATGTGCCTTCACGAATACTAATACTACTATGACATGTGGTTTTGGGTGACTATGACATGTGATGACGGATGACTAAGAGGAAGTAAGTAGTTTGTAATGTAATAATCCTATATACTTATATAGTTCATCCCCACTAAGTGTAGTTAATGATATTTCTCTCTTCTCTCATTCAACCACATTATCCCAATCATTTCTAGCTTTTGGATGATAGATCTATGGTTTAAATCGTCTCTTCTTTACTTTCTCATAACACCATGCAATCTTACTTATTTTTAGGCTCAAAATTCATAAGTATCAATTAATTTTAGTTTTAATAATTACATTGCATCTTATGTGTACACGTTATGTAAATTAATTTCCCGCAGCAACGCCGTGGGATATTCATCTAGTTTATCTTTAGAGGATGTTTGTAATAGTTTAATACTCCTATCGTTTACCATTTAGCTTATAAGCAGCATCTAAAATTTAAATTTAAAACTTATTTGAAGTAGTATATTTTTCAACATTTATTTTAGACTGCTAAGAACACACATATATATACAAATTGTTTTTTTTTCCGATAAGCTGTTACGACTTACAACCAGCACAAGCAAAATGATCACGGTGTAATTCGATATTTGGTCAAGGATGATGGGTTTAATATCTCGAGTGTGATACATCGCCATCAGTAGAGTCATTGTGTTGAGGTTTGCGTAATTAAGCGTCCATGTAAAAAAATGAGAGAAATACCATGCGTCAAATTTGGTGTAATGAATTTCATAAAACTATTGGGCAAAACAGATCACTCATTATGGCTATATATGAGCATCTTACACAATAACTGATCCAATATTTATTATTGAGGTGGCCTTTAACTTTGTTTAATCACTACTTCATTTGTCCTAAAATAAACAAACTTAGTACTCTATCCGTCCCAAATTATATGGTGTCTTTTTTAAGGAAAATTAAACTCGGTAACTTTTGACTAATAATCATACTAACTATATATATATATATATATATATATATATATATATATATATATATATATATATATGCTAAGTATTATATATGTTACATAACTAGATTCATATTTTAAAGTACTTTAATATGATGTATTTGTAACTAGAACATAACATGAAATAAATCAATGATCAAAGTATGTCATTGAAAACCGTGTAAAAAAAATATAGACCTTATAATTTGGGATAGAGGGAGTACGAGATATAACACATCGTAGTATCTAGATAGAGACATCTAGATTAGTAGTACTAGATTGTGTCATATTCCGTATTAGATTTGTTTATTTTGAGATGAACGAAGTAATCGCTTAGCTTGGCTAAAAAGTAAGACAAATAATCTAGTCTAATTTTGCTTTGGCCGTTGCTTCTTCCTATTGTTGCTGCGGTGTACAAACTTAAACTATCTAACAAAGAGTTTGTTGCAAGACACATAAATTTATTTTAAAAATTAATCGAGAGATAGATGCATACAAAAACGACATAATTATATGATATATAATACCTCTGTTTTTTAATAGATGACGCCATTGACTTTATCATATGTTCGACCATTCGTTTTATTAAAAAAAATTTACGTAATTATATATTTTTTTGGTTGTGAGTTGTTTTACCAGTTAAAGTACTTTAAGCATGATTTATATATTATATATTTACATTTACATAAAATTTTTTTGAATTAGACGAATAATAAAAACATGTGTTTAAAAGTCAACGCGTATTCTATTAAAATAGGGAAGGAGTATAATCCAAGCAAGACAGCACCAATCGGTGTGAAAACATCAAACACAGTCACAGCACAGGTGACACACTGTGTGACAACTGACAAATGACAAAAATCCGGTAGGGGAGCAATCGTACCAAAAATAAAAGAACAGAGGGTCCAAAACGGCAAAAAAAAAAAAACCGGTATTCCCCCTCCCGTCGCCTTCCCGTCCCCTGCTGCGTTTGCCGTCGCGTCGCCTGCCGTGCGGAGCCGAGCCGTACGTAGGCCGTGAGCCGACGAGGGCGGAAAAGGGGAAGGCAAACTACGCAAGGGAAACCCCAACCGAAGCAACAATTAAAAAGAGGGAAGGTGGCCGTGGTGGCCTCGCTGGGATTGGGGGATCAGAGGAAGCAAGGAGATCGAGAGACGCACCCAATCTCCCAATCGCCTCCTCCTCCTCCTCCTCCTCCTCCTCTCTCCGTCGCCGAAGATTTGCCTTGCCTCCGTCTCTCTCTTTCTCTCCCGATGGACCAGCTCGTCAATTTCATCATCCGCCCGCCCAGGTGAGAGCCTCTCCGCTGACCTCACCTCCCGATTCGTGGATCTGGTGGGGGGGATTTCGCTTTGCGTCCAGCCCCGATTTGGTTGCTGCCGGATTTGGGGGCGTAATTCCGGCGGGATTTCGTGGGTTAGTAGTGGGGCGTGCGGGACCAGGGGCTTTTGCAGCTCGATTCTGTGGAGTGTCTCCCCCCGTGTGTGGGGGGTTAGGCTTCTGCTGTGCTGCGAATGTGTGGGGGTTTCTTTAATTGTGTTCTCTTAGAAATTGTTTAGCTGAGAGTCGGTGGATTTCTCTTTCTAGAGTACTTTTTTTTTAAGCGCGAATAAGGAATGTGTGAGCTGACATACTTGCCAATCAGCTTACGTTACGGGATGCTTGTCAATCGATGTTGTAGTTCATGGGCTTATCAATGTGGCATTTCCTTGCGTATCCTTACCAGCAATGCGTGTGCATCCGTTCCAGCATAACAAAGCGTTCTACTTGACCGAATACGACGGTTTCGGGAGTAGTTCTTGCTACCATGAACTAACAAGCTAATATTGTTTTTTTGTGACCTTTTATTTCACGTGTACAAGACGTTATGTTCCTTTGAGCAACTCCCAAATTATATGTTGCTGACTTAATTAACTTGTCTGTTATATGTCGGTATATTGCAGAGCTGAGTACAGTCCAAATGATGATCTATTGGAGCAGGAATTCATGTTGAAAGGAAGATGGTTTCAGAGGAAGGATTTGGAGGTTATATGTTTGCTTCAATCTGCTGCTAAAAGATTAATAGAAACCTTAGGATTATCTACTTCTTTTTGCGTTTTAGTAATACTTTTGTATTCGTGGTTAACGTAATAAAATCTACATATTGTCACATTTGTGTCTCAAAATTTTAATACCAACATATTTTTCTTGTCCTCTGCTTCAAAAACTAGAAAAGCAATTCTTGCCTCTGGTGAATAGCACTGATTTGCACAAAAAAAATGGCATCAGTTTTTATTTCCTCTTCATTTGGTGCCCCAACCAACCGGGTTGCATTGGTTTTTGCATCTTAACGAGAAAAGAGCTTCAGCTAAACAGGATAAATTTAGTCTCTTAGATTTCTCCTTGTTTCTTTCATGGTGCTCTGGTTTAATATATGCAATATCTGTTTCAGGTTGTAAATGGCCAGGGCAAGAAATTGCAATGTAGCCACTACATGCCTGTTGTGATTCCTGAAGGAAAAGCTCTTCCTTGTGTTATATACTGTCATGGAAACAGGTAGGGGTATACTATATATTACATGTTAAATACTTGATGAAAAATATAATTACTATTGCTTATTATAGGTCGGTTGTCAGTTTTAGCAAAATACTTTTACACATGTGGCGTCCCTAATGAAGCGAAAATATAATCCTTACATATGCTAATATATTATATTCTTTGTATTTTCTAGGCATTAATTAATTGGCATTATTTTTTTTCCAGTGGATGCAGAGCCGATGCTAGTGAAGCCGCAATTATTCTTCTACCATCAAATATTACAGTCTTTACACTGGACTTTTCAGGGTCTGGACTCTCTGAAGGAGAACATGTTACATTAGGCTGGAATGAAGTGAGTCATTCTTGTACTTATAGAAGATAAATATGATACTTGTTCTTTTTTAAAACCTTCTGTTTGTACTTGTTCTTTTTTAAAACCTTCTGTTTGCTTGTAAACTTTGTGCATTCAAAGCTAGTTGAATACTTCATATTTCTTCATGTTGTCGTTCAGAAAGAAATAACCTGGAAAATGATTATAACAGCTATTAAATGGAGGGCTAGAGAGTAGAGACTGAAATATAAACCTTTCTACAGAAATCATATTGACATGCTTCTTCTTCAATTCTGCATCAGCTTGTCTCAGTAACAGCACATTGCCAGCAAGGCACCAAGCATAGATTTTTTTAGGCTAATGCAATTCTTTTACACTATTCGAAGAGCATAATGGTAGATGATATCTGTTTTTCTTTACAGAGAGAAGATCTGAAAGCTGTTGTCAATCATTTGCGGACAGATGGGAACATATCTTGTATTGGTCTGTGGGGCCGCTCAATGGGTGCAGTAACAAGGTATCTTCTTTAAATGAGTAAATTATGTTAGGATGGCATTCATCTTTAGTATTCTTTTAGGACACCTGCTATCCCAATACTTGAGCTGCTAATTGGAAAAGAGTGATGCCGATTATCATCCTTTAGTATGTGAAATATTATCCTTAAGTATGTAGCACCTGCCGCCCCCAAAAAACACCCACAGTCCCACACAAATCTCCTCACATTTACAGTCGTTGTCCTATTGTACATAATACACATCATCATTCTATATAATTTTAGCCTTTTAGTGTTTATGAAATCTGCTATCTTTATTTTTCAGTCTGATGTATGGAGCAGAGGATCCATCAATTGCTGGAATGGTTCTTGACAGTCCATTTTCTAACCTGGTTGACTTGATGATGGAACTAGTGGATACATATAAATATCCACTACCAAAATTCACGGTAAGCATCATTTGATGAAATGAACTTTTTGCTTTTCGGTGATGAAATTGTTGGTCCAGTAACTATTATAGTTGATATGTGCTTTAACTTTACTGTGCTGTTATTAACAGTTGCTCTAAACATTACTCCCTTGTGGCACCTGCTACCGTGACTGCATGATGCTTGCAATCATACTGCATTGTACCGCATAAGCTAGCTTATATAGATGTCATCCTTGGCTGATAATCCATATCTAATCGTTTCTCTGACAAATAAAACTAAACAAACAACTAATCAGGCTTTCATTGAATTAATAAATCCGTTCTTATAATCTCTTAGCTGACAAACTTGGAAACAAACTGAACTTGTGTAGAAAGCAACCTAGTCTTGCCATTGGATGATTGACCTTATTGGGGACACCCATGGCAACTATCAAGTTAGCAACTACAATTTGTTCCAATGGTGCATAAACTGTTTCCAGCCATCTGTGCATTTCTCAGAAGATTGTGACATCTGTTTTTTGGTGTTTCCAGTTATATTTAATTTGTTAACTGTACTAATTTTATTTGATGATAGATATGCTTAGTCTTTATGACAGTGTCATAAGGGTAGGCCCCATATTTGTATCTTATTTATTGTGGAACTTTTGTTTGTTTCTTAGGTGAAACTAGCAATACAACATATGCGAAAGGTTGTCAAGAGAAAAGCCAGCTTTGACATCATGGAACTTGATACCATTCAGGTTTGCTACCGTCCATATACTAAATATTGTGTTGCTCCAATGTTTTGGCTGGTGTAGTGATTTGCCCCTCCTTGTCTAGATTACACGCATTGTATCCATGGGGGAAGATTTCATTTATCATAATCTTTGACCTCTTTATTTGATTTTGATTCAGTTTGCTTTTGGTATTACCCTTTTTCTAATCTCTATTTTGTGTTTGCATTCTTATTTTTGGTTATTTTGCATGTCTTATTGAATTTTAGGAGCTTTTGCTATAGCATCTCTGTTCTTTTTCAATTTTGATGCCCAGCCCTAGATTGCTAGGTTGGCTTTCATATACAATTCTTTCTTCATTCCCCCCTTGTGCCCTTGAGTAAACAAGAGCAGAAGGCTGAATAAGAAACAAAGGAAGGCAAACCTTTTCATAGGATGTGCATGCATTTTCTTCTCCCAACTGTGAATGACACTGCAATTTTATTTGAATAGCCAAATACTTGTGTGTTGCAATCTATTCCAAACAAATATGTGACAATTTCTAAACTTAAATGGAGATATATATTTCTCTAGAAAAGAACATGTACAGTTTGCACCAAAACATCACCATACAAATAGAGTCTTATATCTATCCACAGAAGATACTGATATTCAAGTGGTGGTAGTGGGATGGCATACTGCCTCCACCACTACTATATGTTGATTTATATAGTTGAGATAATCAGATAATGCTGTAAAACACCTCCGCTCCATTTATTTGTGACAGTTGTGACCATACATCAGTACACAATTAATATCTGAAATTTAATTTTTCAGGTAGCAAAGCGGTGCTTTGTTCCTGCTTTGTTTGGACATGCGACTGAAGATGATTTTATACTGCCCCATCATTCAGACAAAATCTATGAATCCTATGTTGTAAGTTTCCACCTTACCCTTCAATGTGGACAAATGATTCCTTTGTCTGATAAGGTAGTAATATATGGTTGATTTAAATGCATCTGCAGGGAGACAAAAACATTATTAAATTCGATGGGGATCACAATTCACCCCGTCCACAATTTTACTTTGATTCCATAACAATATTTTTCCATAATGTGCTAAACCCTCCTGATGTTCCTGATGACCATTATTTCCTGACACCTCATGGAAGCCTTGGTCAGGTACTACAAATTGACATTTCTTAGAGTGATTGCAATATGTTCAACATATCTTACCTTAGGTCCTGCTGACAGGGTCATTGGGATACAGAACATGACATAGAGTATAGGTTCGCTCAATCACCAACAGGTATGATTTTGCAAACCTCGATCTGCAGTTATGTTTGGTGCATCAATAACAGTATGAACTTATGTGCTATTTGTTATGGGACAGCCCGCACAGCTACCACAGAAGATGCCATTGCGCAGTTACGTTCTAGAAGGCTCATGAGTAGAATGGAGGTGGGTATTTTCATTTTGTTATCATTCTGAACAATGCTAAAATTCTATTGTATCTTTGTGCCAGTGGTCTTGGAAGTAACCGATAGTCATTTCTGTCTGTACTGCACATGGAAAGTCAATCACTAGAATTATTATATTGGTGATCAAAATATTACTAAATAAGTTTTCATATCTGAGGCAGCAGTGATGTCTCCTTTGTGGAGGTGGAGCAGCAAAAGTAACTCATGGTTTCTTTTGATTGTTCTCCAGGTCCCAACTGGTGCCACTGCAGAAGACAGGGCTGACAGAAATGAGGTATATTCTTTTTTGCTATTTTTCAATACTTTAGAATCATATTCAAGTCATCCGTTTCTTTAAAATCTTCTACCTGATCATCCACTACCAGAATTTCACATGGTCACTGTTCTTTCTAGAAAAAAGAAACAAATGAGATGCTTTTCACCTAGAAGTGCAATGCTAGCTCATAATGATTTCCCAAGAATCATCTGGTTTAACGTGTAGAATGATTCGACACCTGCATTTTCGGGATAGTTAAATTAATATATTTTACGGGAAAAAAATGTGAGATAGGTGGTTGTTTCAGAGCAAGAGGAGGTGGCAGTGGTAAGGTCCAGACTCCATAGGGGCTACTGCTACTGCTACCAGTGTCAAGTGAGAATGGTGGGTTTGGAAGAGAATAATGGGGCTTAGGTGATGTTTACTGAAAAGAATGATGCATAGAAGTAATAGAAGGGGTTAGGGCCCTAGTTATTCGTGCATTCTACTGATTAGGACTCTGTTTGGTAGCAGAGTATTACACAAATATGTTCATATGCCAAGTTCCTAATATATCAGTGGGAGTTGTTCCTAATAAATCACGCAACTTAACCATAATAAAATAATATATTCTTTGTTGACTGGCACTGAAATCGATATAATTCAAATGAAATAATTTTGCACTATGAAAATTGAATCTCATACTAGTAATAGATATGTCGATAACTCGATCTGAAATAGAAACTACCATATAAGATTATTCACTTTTTCCAACTGAAGCTGTAATCAATACTGAGTTGTAGTGCCAATTGGATCTGAGTAGAATGGATATACCAAATACATCTTGTTCAAATAAGAGCACAATCATCCTTGACGGTGTTGGGATTGTGGCTGTAGTATCATCATTATGACACATCAGTTTTCTTTCAGTATATATGTGGATGATACAAATCTTTTGAGCTTTCAGAATATAATGCTCAGAGTATCACCACTGGCATTGAGATTGCTATTCGATTCTGTTTGTACAGGTAATGGACAGTGATAATGGTCCTTCCTCTTCTAGTGTATCTACTGCAACTCCTCCTAATGGCCGCAATGGAAGGCTCCTGACTCCAACCTCTGATGATGGCGAGTATGTGGAGTACTCATTTGATAGTCTATCAGATATGCCCTACACTGAGGAAGATGAGGATAGAGTAAGTTATACCTTAACATCCTTCAGATTTTTCACCATGTCATCATGTTGCACTACCTTTTGTTGTTTCCAAGACACCCTCGTAGACGGTTCAACATGCATAAAAACATTGTGTATCACAGAAAAAAAAGATCTAGTACTGGAGAATGGTTGTGTTGGCCTGTTGGGAGATGTGGAGCTGATTAGGCCCAATATATTTAACTATTGATAGCTTTGCTATAAGAAAATTGGATTCAGCATGTGGATGGGAATATTACAACCATCTAACTTTTTTTTTGTTGGCCAAAGCTTAACATGTTAATATGGACTTCTCTCTAAATCTTTAATTGATATGTCTCTAAATCTTAACCTGTTAACACGTGTTTTAAGAAGGATCACAATTACCGGTTGATGTTTCCATTATCAGCTGTTTATCTCTTTTTTGCTATACTGAAATGCAGATGCTAATGCAAGCAATTATGGAGTCCTTGAAGGATCTTGAACTGTCAAATACAAAAGCTGCGCAATCTGCCGCATCTGATGCTGCATCCAAAGAAAATAAAGAAAATGGTTGCAATGGTGCAACCGTGACAGTATTGGAGCCAGATGCATCTTCCACCTCGGCGCGTCCCACTCCCACAGATGCTCCTGGCAAGGATGTAACAACCTGCAGTACTAAAGCAAAGTCACCTGAAGTGCAAAGTGCAAGCAACCACACCACAAACAACGCCGCTTCTGTGAACACCTCTAGTTCCTTAGAGTCCAATGCATCAACCCATGTTACGAACGGAAAATCCACCTCGTCGGAATCTCAGAAACCAACACAGAACGCCAATGGGGAGGATGGTACAAGAGCAACCCTGGTGGTACAGAAGAGCCGGACAGGCAGCCTAATGGATGGACTGACGCACAAATGGGGTTCCTTGTTCAAGAACAATGACTAAGACAAGCAAAAGATATACGATGACGCCCGTTGACGATTTATGTTATTGTGTGTTAATATAGCCATAGAGCTGCCGCCTCTGGCCGCACATGTCCAGCTTGATTGGTTTAATTTACGTGTAAAATGAGAAAGGAAAAAGGGATATACTGTACAAGTGGTGTATATATACAGCTAGGATGGTAGTGATCCCATTGATTGTGTACCATGTGTCTCTCACTCAGCACTGCGTTGCATTTGGTGAATTGGCAGGCTTTTGTTACTTGCAAATATGGTGTGAAGTGGGTGTGCGTGTGCCAACTCGTTGTTTCTTGCAGCTGTAAATTTTTGACGGAATGATCATTTTTTGCTCCAGCTGTGACAATTTGGGCCATTACGTTTACACCTATATAAAAGACTGGAGCCAAAACTGGATAGTATTGAATTGTAGATTTGTAGCTAAAATGAGCATTTTCAGATGGTAGTTACCCAGTTTTTACTTATTTTTATAGTGTTGACAGGAGCCATGATGTCAGGACCCGACATCTTGGTGGGTCGTCATCCCGTTAAGTACCAGGGATTTTTTTTTCTTCTGACCGCTGATGTGTACTCGCTCTGTCCCATAAAAATCAACCAGTATCAGATGTGACATATTTTAGTACTATAAATTTGTCGTATTAGAATATGTCATATCCTATTTTTTAGACGGAGGGAGTAAATATATAACTAGTGACATTGGTAGCAGGCTGATCACACCCCTATTGGGGCAAAAAGAAGGGCAAAAAGAAAGTTTTGAACCGGGAGATATTAGCTTACCATTTACTCACCCTTTACTCATTGCATCAGGACAGGCAAGAATTAATTTCACACGGTTACTTTTCTCAACGTTTTTAACTTAGCTTCAATCATTACTTTTTTAATATTATACATGAAAATTATAACAATAAAAAAATATTATGAAATCATGTTTCCAGTGACAAATATAGCGATATGAGTTCTCGAATACAAATTGGTACCGTTCTGAACATACTAATGGTTAAATTTTAGAAATGTACCAGTATTATTTTTTTTTAAAAAAATGCTAATAGTGTGAATTATATATGGTCACAACTTGCGCTTCTTCCTCTCCTCCTTTCCCATCCTCACTCTACCGCTGCCGAACCAAGCCATCGGCAAGCCGCGGATGGCAGTGGCGGGGCAACATCATAGGGCGTGAGATAAGGGGTTGTGGTGAAGGTGGAGTTTGGCGCGACGGTCGGCAAAGAGCAGCGCAGTGCATCGAGGCGGCAATCGACGAGGAGTGGCGCGACGCATAGAGGTGGCCATCGGCAAGGTGGCACGGCCAGATCCGGTGTTCCCTTGACTGGATCTGGCGCCTCCTAGCCTTGTTCGCAACATGGAGGTTTCTCGGTGGCGGTAGTGGCTGCCGGACGAGGGATTCCCAGCGCCGTAGTGGGGTTGGCTATGACAATGAACTTGGTGGCAGCGATGAGTGCCGGTGGTATTGGTCGGAGACAGGAGCTAGTCCTTCGTCCCCCTCCCTTTATCACCGATAGCGTGGGCTGGTGACGGACAGCGGGGGGGGGGGGGGGGGGGGGTTTGCCCTCCCTTATGATGGTGGGCTAGTTCATGCACATGGTGACCGCAGTGGATGATTGGTTCGGCGACGACAGATAAAGTTGGCGGTGGTGGACGTTCTCAATGGCGACGCCCTAGGGGTGGCGGCAACAAGCGAGCTCCAGCGCCCAGATCTGACTGCGCCCAAGATAGGATGGCAGAATGGTGGTCGTTGATGACAGGGATGGTTGACGGTGTGATGGTCGTCGGCTCGCCTAGCACAACGGAGGCTCTTAGCAGCGAAGCCTTGGTGGAGATGGCTGCCAAGCGAGCAAGCGTCGATGCCAAGATCTGACAGTGGGTAGGTGTGGACAGTGGTGGAATATCTTTCTCGAGCTCATGGCAGTAAAGGTAGGTGCTCGTCGTGCTGCATGGCTCTGAGATGCTCTAGGAACGGCGGAGGGTTCGACGGTTTGTGGAAGACAGTGGTGATGTGGAATAGCGGCTTTTTGGCGCACTAGGGGCGTTCAGAATGCACCGGTGGCGTAAGGGGATTTGGACGACAACGGCGAATGGCACGCATGATAATTGATGGCAGATGTTGGTTGTGACATGCAGGGGTGGAGATGGTGTGGCGACGGACAGTGGGGCTTAGTTTCGGTTCTCCCTTTCCTCTTGTGTTGTCAAAAAGAGTATGCCGTATTTGAAGTTTGAAACTAAGTCTTCTAGTAGTTTTTTTTTTGTGTGTGTTTTATGTTTTCCTCTATGGAGGTGTAGAGTCTAAGAACTTGTATATGTTTTGGCCGTGTATATCCTTCCTAGATATATAAGTTGGATTAATGAAAATCCATTATTAAAAAAACAATATGGATTGTAGGATGTTAAGGCCTAGTTTGAAAGGGCTTAATGAATGACGATGGATTATCTTATTTTGGTATATAATTTGAGGGTACAAACACAAATAAATATCAATTACAAATAAAAAAGCTGTTTAAAAATATTTTAAGCAATATGTATATAGATTTTCTTTTTTTTTAAAAAAAACAATCACACACTTTATGAGCTCTGTAATTATGCCCGCAATAATTTCTAATCTATAATCTACAAGTAAAAAAAAGAGCAGAGGTAATACTAGACTCCATGCATTCTGTATATTTACTTTACTCTCTAAGATAGAGTTCCACTAAATTATGGATTTCAGGATAGGGATATCAGTACTACATATTTTCAGGCATAAATAAAGAATAAACCATGCTCACATTATACAAACTTGCGTGATAGATGTAAATAGATACAACTTACCAATCATTCGTCCCGATGCATCAACTTTCCTAGTCCATTCAAACCCAGGCTAAAACATTCCATGCAAACAGAAATAATCTATGCAGTACACATGTAAGTTTAGGTATTGAACCACATGCTTGTGTTATGCACTACTATAGCAAATTAACTGAACTAGAGCAAATAGGAATACAAAATCCCTCAGATGCAACTGAGTTTTGGCATTGAATCAGTACAGAAGCTACTGCTTGATTTTAATTCTTTAGTGCTTGAACCATCATAAAATAGCCGCAAAGATTAAAAAAAAAACAACAACACAATATATAGAGACCATCATAGTAATTTGATCCTTCCACTTTCACTTTTGTACGAAGCTGCTGCATTTCTGCTGTCTAATCAACATTCTATAAACAACATCATAATGTTCTCTCATTACACAACTGTAACCTAGAGTATCAGCCAGCTTGGGCTAGGATATAGACCTAAATTTCATCAATGAGTGCCACATCGAATCATTTTCACTTACGTGCATTGTTTTGGCCCGAGTTTGCACGAGATAAGCAAGTCGTTCTATCTACTTCACGTAACATGTGAGTTTGTGCACTGTGAGTGCAATTTACTCAAAATAAATTGCATCATCATCTTTTTGTGATACTCCGTGGTTTCGAAACTATTAAGATTCAGATAGTTGTATTGCATAGTTTCAAATATAAACAAATCACATTTTTTTTTTGTGTGTGTGTGTGGGGGGGGGGGGTTAAATTATGGTGTTCCATAGTTTCACTTGACAATTTCACTTTAAATTCAAATTTAAAATTTGGAGCCTTTAAGTTTGTGAACAAAAGTACGAGATTGGTCCTCCACAAATTGAATCATGTGCATGAAGTTGTCACAGGCTCACAGCGACTGCACAACAGCAGCTGGAGTAACACAAAAAAGGCCATTTTTATCACTATGCCATTCATATGTATTAAATTATCTCTACTCTTTCTGTTCGAGTGATTTGAACATTTTCACATCCAGGTATAATCCATGCTAACACCAGGACGTGTTCTCATTTCAGCTATAAATAGCAAAAAAAATTCAAATATGTATAAACCCGTCACCGTTCTCATCCAAAATTATCTACTTTCCCGATAATTTCATTTTCATTAACTCCATTCCCGATCAGTGAGATTTTGCTACGCATTGTTATTGATATAAAAAGATGGCTATACCTTGGATGCGAGTGTGGCCATGGAGCACTGCAATGGCATCGCCGCCGTTGGGCGCTGGTTGTCCACCAAGCCCAAGGTTATCTTCGTGCTCGGCGCCACCGCCACCGGCAAGTCCAAGCTCGCCATCCGCCTCGCCGCGCGCTTCGACGGCGAGGTCATCAACTCCGACAAGATCCAGGCGCACGACGGCTTCCCGGTCATCACCAACAAGGTCACCGACGAGGAGCGTGCCGGCGTCGCGCACCACCTCCTCGGCGGCGTCAGCCCCGACGCCGACTTCACCGCGGAGGACTTCCGCCGCGAGGCGGCCGCCGCCGTCGCCCGCGTCCACGCGGCCGGCCGCCTCCCCGTCGTCGCCGGCGGGTCGAACATCTACGTCGAGGCGCTCGTGGCCGGCGGCGGCGGCGCGTTCCTCGCGGCGTACGACTGCCTCTTCCTGTGGACCGACGTCGCGCCGGACCTGCTGCGGTGGTACACGGCGGCGCGCGTGGACGACATGGTGCGGCGCGGGCTGGTGGGCGAGGCCCGCGCCGGGTTCGACGCCGGGGCGGACTACACCCGCGGCGTGCGCCGCGCCATCGGGCTACCCGAGATGCACGGATACCTGCTGGCGGAGCGCGAGGGCGGCGCCGGCGCCGAGGACGACGACGACCTCCTCGCCGGCATGCTCGAGGCCGCCGTGCGCGAGATCAAGGACAACACGTTCCGCCTCACCGTGTCGCAGGTGGCCAAGATCCGGCGCCTCAGCGCGCTGCCCGGGTGGGACGTCCGGCGCGTGGACGCGACGGCGGTGGTGGCGCGCATGGCGGAGGGCGCGCCCCACGGCGAGACGTGGAGGGAGGTGGTGTGGGAGCCGTGCGAGGAGATGGTCAGCCGCTTCCTCGAGACGCCCGCCGCCGCCGCCGCCGTCGTTGCCAACGGCAAAGTCGACGTGAACGTCGGCGACGCGGCCGCCGGCGTGCCTGAGGCTGCCGCCGCCGCCGTCGTTGCGGCGGGTGTGGTCTAACTCTAAGTAGGATACGCGGCGACGGTGCATGTTTGCATGGTGGGTGGCGGCTCATGTTGCGGTTTTGGGTTGGCTTTGGCGTGGCTGGGCCAGGTGGCTTGCAATATTTCATTATTTATTTATTTTTATTTTGAGCTGCAGTGATATGAGATTTTGAGTGAGAAAGGAGAGGGAGGGAGACACAAGTATCTTTGAGCTTGTTTAAGCTTAGTGTTACAAGAGATTATTTTGTTATGTTTTCAGAATATATAAAATGCTAGCGCCTCTAGTATAATCGGTAGTATTTGACACCGCACAAAATAGTAGAGAATGCTACGCAGCGTCAAATATTACCAGTTGAGGGAATACAAATTCTAAAGTGTTTACTTGTCTTTTGATTTGAAGTTTAAAACCAATCGAAATTCTTAACTGTCTTTTGAAATTCGAAGTGTTTTCTCCCTTATTAGGGCCTGTTCGGAACAAAAGGATAAAAAACACAGAAATATGATAGAGCGTAAATTGGAAAGCTCAGGGACTGTAAAACTTGAGCTGTTTGGAACAGAGGAATGCTAGGGGATAGATACACAAGCACACAACTAATGTGAAGGAAAATTTCCTTTAGGAGGAACCTTATTTTTCTTTGTTTCCTTTTAAAGTATATGATTTCAAAAAACAATATTTGGAGGGAGAGATGTCCCTCCAAACAATTTTTAAGAAAAAAATATGAGCGTGTTGGAGATTAAACACGGAGTTCAAACAAACAAGATTTGGAGGGAGAGACGTCCCTCCAAACATTTTTTAAGAAAAAATTATGAGCATGTTGGGGATTAAACACGGAACCTCAGGGTTGAAATCATACATCTCTTGTCACTGCACTATCAAGTACATCTCAAAGTACAGAGTTTCTCAATGCTCTTTTCTTTGATCCAAACAACATCATAGGAAGATTTTCCAAAGGAAACTAAACCTCCACAATTCCTTTAAAATTCCTTTGATCCAACCATGCCTTGGTTACTGCATATTTGTTTTAGTATAACCTTATATTGCTTGAAACTAAACTTCCCTTCTTTTCATACTACCTGACAGATTGTTAGTTCTAAGAGTATGCTTATCTAACATGCGGATTATAAGCCATAGACAATTTTAAAATTTCGATCTTAATTTTCGAATTAATTTAGTTTTATTTCTTATTTTCAGCCTTAGTTTTTGAAATGCTAAGACTAGAAGTATAAATTTCTTACTAGTTGCTTTGGTCACGCGTTGTTGGCTTATAAACCACAGCACACAAGAGGAAATTATTTATTTGTATTTACAAATCTGTACCTTCAAGTATTCTTAGTTTACCGCACGGTGGCAAAGAAATGGAGAAACCAAACAAAACTGAACCAAAATCCATATCTTTTTTATTACTTTGTTAAAACATGGTTGGGATTACCGCGCACCCATTGATAAACCCGATATGGAAATAACAACCTGCTTAATGATTAATGAAGGGAATCAGATAATCTGATGTAGAGAATTTCTATATCAGAGGAACGTCCTCACCGGATCGTCGTCAATTCTGCATCCAACGGGCAACATCGTTTCTAACCTCTCCTTGTTCGGCCTTAGCTCAGACCAAGTCCAGGGAAACGCTTTATACCGAATGTCCTAAGAAACGGAAATATCGAACGTCTCGTCTACCCTACGGACGAACCCTGTCACTGCATCATACATGCTTAGCTGTTTCTTTTCATTCTTTCCTCCTCTCTTTAAATATTTTTTCTTCTAAATTACTTATCCGATCTACGAACCGGTCACACCGTTGTATTCGTTGCAATTAAATTTTTACAACAAGATATCATATGATTATATTATATCAAAAGAAAAATATGTGTTTCAAACTGTTAAAATAAAATGTTCCATACGTGATAGTGATATATTTCAATGTGCGTCTTCAGTGTGTTTCATAAAATTCTTAAAACTACCTGCTACTACTCTCTCTCCACCTCATCTATGCACACATGCATGTATTTTAGCAAGCTTCAAAATAATTTTTCTCTTAAATTATTTATCCAATCCATGATCCGATCACATCATTATATTTGTTTTAATTAAATCTTTACAACAAGATATCGCATGATTATATTTTGTTAAAAGAAAAACACATGTTTCAATCCGTTAATACTTGTTGTTTCATACGTGACAGCGACATGTTTCAATGTGTATCTTCACTATGTTTCATAAAATATTTAAATGTTTCAGTTGCTAATTTTTTTTGTTTTACCATATCTCTACTATAAAAATTTAACTTGTTTTTGCCATGGGTTTCTAGTACGTTGTTCCTTTCCATTTCGCATTTGGACGCATGCGTTTCAAACGTTGTTTCCGATTCTGTTCCATGGGAGTAGTCTTCCCTCCCGTTAAATTTTTTCTCTCTATTACGGTAGTTAAGTTAAAAGATGCTCTTCCATTGATTTCCTTTTTTTTTCCTCTTAGTTAAGTTAAAACATACTACCTAATGCATTTACGGTCATGCATGCGACATAATGGTCTCGTTTGGTTTTATAACTCTATACCTACTTAAAAACACATAAGGCTTCCGATCGTTCGTTTCGTCCATCGTCGTCGTGTGAGTCCGAGTCCGTCTTTTTTAAAAAAAAATCCCCGAGCAGATCAGCCTCCTAACCCCTTTGCCCCCAATTCCCAAAAATCACAAAATCACTCAATTGCAATCCCAAATCAAAACCAAGAATCCTCACAAAATCAACATCCCAAATCAAAAATAAAATCCAAATCCTAACCCTAGCCGTCTCCCCGAGCTACCCTCCTCGTGGTCGTCGTCGTCGTCGCCGTCGTCCGTCGTCCACCGCCGTCGCCGCCGTCGTCGGCATTGCCGCCTTCCACCGCCACCGCCACCGCTCCCGAGCCCGCCACCGCTCCCGGCCGCGTCGCCACACCTGGGAGGGGGAGCAGCAGCCGCCGAGCCCACATGCGGTCGCCGTCGGCGCTACCACTGCCGTAAGATCCGCCGCGGGAGGGAGGCGAGAGGGGTCGGAGGGAGCCGTCGCCGCCGGATCTATCCTCGGCCGCCACCACCGTGGCTGGATCCACCCACGGTCGTCGCCGACGCCACCGTCGCCGGATCTGTCACGCGAGGGAGGGGAGGGGGAGCGGCACTGCCGGGGAGGGAGGAGAGGCGCCGCCGGGGAGGGGAGGTGAAGCGGCGCCGCCGGGGAGGGGAAGAGGTGCCACCACTGAGAGAGAGGGAGAGGGAGGGAAGGGAAATGTTTTTAAGGTTAGGGTTTGAATCATTGAACTTTTATATAGGTCGTGATCAATTAAGACCGTCCATCAGATCGAACGGCTCAGCTTCTCCAGCGTTCCTAGGCTGCCCACACTATTGGGCCGCTTGTAATCTCCTCAGAGAATAAGTTTACTTTATGTCCCTAAAGTCGTCCCCGAATATGTTCTCATGCCGCCCACACTGTAGCCCGCCTCATGGGCCACGTGCACGCACAGAATAAGTTCACTTGAGGTCCCTTAAGTTGAATTGTTTTTATTTCATTATGAATAGATTTTCTTAAAGAGCTCATATCATGTAAAACTAAACCCTAATCATCTAATATTTTTATATTTTGTATAATTTTAGTTTACCCGTTGCAACGCACGGGCATTTTTTCTAGTATAACTTAATGTTTCACTTGTTGGTCAACTGTAACATTTGACCGTCCAATTATTTTGGGGCATCGGACATCCGATGGGTAGCTTCCTCCCCAAGTCCACAAGGAAAAATAGCGTAGCGAGAAAGACGAAGGTGCCACTCATTCCCTATGGCTACCAGCTGCTCGATCGTCGCACTCCTTGAACTTGTCCGGGAGCACGCGCGCTAGGCGTCGGCAGCGATGTCATATGCGTAGGAGGAGCAGAGCACGTTCTTGGCCTCGTTGTAGCCATCAGCTACGTAGACGATGTCTCGTTGCTTCCCAACCGAAGAAGCCCCGGGAGTCCGGGATCACTGTGTTGTGTCGCCACCACACGCCTCCACCTCCTCTCCCGTGAAATCCATGTGCCGCCACTCGCCCATGGTGAGGTTCGTCGCGGCCAGCACGTACGCACTCCATCACCGCCACCGGTCTCATCGCCCCCACGCACGGGTGTGGCCAAGACAAGGAACACAACGTCCTCAGCTTCCCTGGTCGTCGTCGGAACGTCTCCGGCTCACATGCGCGCCAGGCACCTTGGCCATTTCGTCCGACAACCCAGGATGAGCTTCGCCGCTTCTGGCTCCCACCCTCCCCATGCAGGGTTTAAAATTTCTGACTAAACTTTCTGAAATTTGGGGTCTATCAGATCCCCTGATATGAAATTATTCGCATGGTTTTTTGGTTTGTTTTCATTTAGCCAAATTTTGTTAAAATTTCCAATTATTTTTTCAGACTGAAATCACCAAAATTTAGGTCCTCTCGGTATCCCTAATACAAATAGCGAAAACAGATTTTGAACCCTGCCCGCCCAACTAGAAGCGGCGGAAGCTTCATCTTCTCGCATCGCCGTTTTTCCTTGTTAACTTGGTCTGGACCGTGGGCCGAACGATGGAGGACTGGCTGAAAATGATGATGATGCCCGTTGGATGCAAGATTGACCGCGATCCGGCGTGGACGTCCTTTTGAGTAGAAATCCTAATCTGGTCCCTTAATGAAGTGTCCTGTGTCAACCATCTTCATCAGTCACAGTTCTTCATCATTAACCTTCTTTGGACTTATTCTTATCCATGACAATAAGATAACATTAGAGGATTTCACATAAATCGAGCCTCTCTTTTGATAAAAAATTAGATTTCCATTGCAATAGTATAATGACGAAGAATCAACTATTACTAATTTTTCGATATCAAAACCACGCGGAACATTTCTTCTCTCCAATCAAATGTACGGACGGCTAAATGCAAACGGACAATCTCATGACCTCATTTATAATACAAATAAAAGGTAGAGTTCGTGGATTTTCGAAGTATTAAACGTACATTAATAATAAAACAAATTACAAATTACGTATGTAAATTGCGAGACGAATCTATTAAGCATAATTAATCCATCATTAATAAATGTTTACTATAGTACCACATTATCAGATCATGGCGTAATTAGACTCAAAAGATTCGTCTCGCAATTTACATACAAACCGTGCAATTGGTTTTTTCGTCTATATTTAATGCTCTATATATGA